GAATATCCATTTGTTTAACATTCCTGTACGCATAGTTTATGCGGCACTATTCGTCACATTGTTAATAATAATGAAGTGGTGCAACGTGCAACTATTTATTATTGTTATCATCATATCGGGCATTTATGACCACGTTACACTTTATCTTCCGAAGCCCCGGAGAGATTAACGTGTGTAATTATGGCGATCAGCTTTTTTCGACTGTATCCCTTGACAGACAAAGTTGTTATGCCTTGCATTATGAATAATGAGGTGATTATGAGAGGTACAGTTACAGTCACAAATACGACTATACCTACGTAGGGATCTAACCTGCAGTCTCCTCGGCGCAGACAACTGCTGCCGCAACCGTTAGTGGCGGCGGCGGCAGCGGCGGCGATGGTGTGACGGTTAGCGTATTGGACTGTTATCCCCAAGTTCGCGGGTTCACACCCGATCGTAGCCGTGGATTTTTAGGGCGACAAAATCCTTCGTACGCCTTCCTTCGGAGGGGAAGTAAAGCCGGCTGTCCCATGTTAGTAGATTTACTTGCAGGTAAAAGATCCTCAAGCCTAAATGACGCCTCTGAGCTAAATTCAAATCGCCTGTTTCTCGCCCAAGAAATGCCTCCTTTCTCTGCTAGTTGATGAAAGGAGCGTAGCGAAATTCGCGTGGTCAGACGGAAGAGCTGGCCTGATGGCCCGAGTCTCGCCACGTAAAATAAGGCAAATTCAAATCAAATCAACCGTCGTCGCGACGGGGCCGACTCCACTTCATTATTTATTACGATGCCTGTGAACCCCATTATCATAAAATTTCATTACAGTCGTACCATCGGGAGACCATACCTTTTCAAAGCAAAAGAAAAATATTTAAAATAAGGCTCATTTGTAGCCAAAAATATTTTAAAGAGGAATGTACATGACGAATTGTTTAACTTCCTCCTTTTGAAGATGGTTAGATATCTTGTACATTTTCTGGAGAACGTGTACATATTAAATAAATATATGTTTCCAACTGCTATTTTTTATAAACACGCTAATAAATGTAATCTTTTTATGTAAAATTATTCACAAATGCGTATGGGTCCTAATTTCTCTCTGCAAACAATGGTTATCTACAGCTTTGTCATCCACACAGCCTGCACCGAGAAATTGTATCTAGTAAATACAATTTCCGCTCGTTGGTCAATTAAAACGTGTTTAACCCCTCGGAGAGAAGTTGTTAAGCGTTCATTTGACTGTAAGAAAGCGATTAAATTCTCATAACCGCACCATGTAGAGTTATTATTTAACATCAACACAAGCTTTGACCTATGAACTTTAGCGTACTCGCTACATTCAACTGTTCCTCTTTCACAGAGTCAATTGTTCCCCTTCCACACGTACGCCAGTCAACTGACTTAACTATCCAAATTAATTTTAATTTAATTTCAGCTTTTGAAATTGCCCTGAACGGAGAAGCACGCGTGAGCAAACTGATGTGTAATTAAACTTGCGACAAATAAACAAACATTAATAAACTCGCGCTGTCAGGATCATTTGTTTAGCAAATCATTGGTTCGATGTTTCACTCGCGCGTTGTAAGTAAACCTAAAAACATTTGATTTATAAAATGAAATGCTTGCCTACATTTAATGAAAATTGCACATACGTTTACAATTATAGTTTAAAAGATTTTTTGCATTTCTGACGCCAACTACACAATAATCTTAGTGTGAGAGCGGTAGCAAAGTCGGCGAAACCACTACCATTTCAAAATGTTTAGAGCATTAGTTCTCAGACTGAGAATCGAACCCAATTCTTCTAGTTGCTTTGAAGAATGAAGATGATGATGCTATATTAAGAATAATTGTTGATGAATGTAGAAATTAAGGTACACATTATAACTGTGACAAAATTCAAAAACATATTTTTCGTGAGATGTTCCCGATTTTTCGATAACAATCCTAAAATCCGAAAGAAAGTAATCGATCCCTTGAGTTTTGAAACAAATAATTTATGCTGTGTCACTTTATTCACTTTACGAACACGAACATTCTCTCAATATTATTGAGGACTCCCAACACCATCCGAGGCGCTGAACCTCTGCATAAAACAGTCTACTGAGACAGATCGAACTTCCTCAACTTCGCCTTCTCACTGTAAGTCACTGCACAGGAATGGAAAGCAAGTGCGCTCGTGGCCCAAAGCGAAACTGCTTACCTTTCACCAAGAAGATCAGGGTTCGATTCCCGTCGATTTTCGGACTATCCCATGTGAAGTGTGTTTCAACAAAACGAATTTACATGCTTCACGGGGGCTAGTTCAATCCATGCGAAGCGTTCTAAACCCTACTCCTATCCTATTTCCCTCCCAATTCTGGCCGCCGCTGGGTGGTGACGCAGGAGCGCGTGATGTAAGAGGCGCGTATGCGGAAGCGCTACCTGGCGGTCCTCTTGACTACCAACTTGGCAATGTTAACGGAGGATTACTCCAGAGAGACTTGACATATATGTTTTAATGGAGCAGTACTCCAAACAGCGCTCAATGCTGTTTTAGAGGGCTGAGAGATGTGTTGCGTTTACAACAACGCAACATTTTTGTAAATGTACTATTCTGTGTATTCTGAAAAAATAAGAATTTTACCATAATCTTGTATTTTAGTATTTATTAACAATTACTTTATTCCAAGATCTCTCTATGTAAAAGTATTTCTAAGAACTTTTATTTTTCGTTCTTTGTTCCTCTATTCACCTCATCATCTTCGGTTATCTGATTAAACGTCTAAATACATATTTGATAGCCACCGCACGTTTAGCTACTGCTCACATACTCTAAATCTTTTATCGGACTATCACCTCATCACAGGTTCATTTCCTCTTTTGCGATTACTCTTACTATTTCATCGCCGCATTTTTTCAATTACCGCTATCTGTTCTTTCGGTACGGTTCAGACAATTTTTAAAGTACGGCTTCCCTTTTATGGAAACATTTTAAAAACTCTTTCACTGCTATATTTTCGTTATCTCGTTGCAATGGCCCTATCTGGATAAAAAAATTCGCATGTAATATATTTTTAAACGAATTTGCGTGAAAATTATTACATTAAAGTAATATGAAGACAGAAAAAGAGCGTTTATTGTAATATGAGCGACATATTTTGTTCGGTTGAAATATTTGGCAAAAATGTTTGACGTAATCCTTAATTTAAATTAATATCCATAAGAAAATGTTACTTACCATTCGTATAAAAAAAACTTCAGTTTCGAATAATCCAAAGATCAGTTTGGAGTTTACTTCTAAAAAGCACATACTTTTAATGGAACGAAAGTGTAACACAATTGAATCAAAATATTAAGTCAGACATAAATTCCACTGCATACGTCACTTTCCCATTAACAACTGGATCTAATCCGCGAACATCCTTGCTACTCAACCAGCTGGTTCATAACATTCTGCTCTGTTTTTTTTTCATTCGGCTTATTCATAGCAGCATATCACGTTACATATGATGCCATCCATATTACTTCTGGTGACTACTATATTAGCATTCAAGGTGATGTTTTCAACGGTTAATTCCAATTATGAACTATTTAAATTAATCCTAGTCCGAAGATTGTCAAATAGAAAAAGTCTCTGCGAATTATCGAAACAAACGTGTGATAAATTTCAACGAACAGTTAAATTTCGTTTTAAGGTTAATGCCTTTTACGTTCGTCACGACGTTTTGACGTCATGACCGAAACTGTGAAAGTCCCTTCCAGTTGCCAGTGGTCAGGAATATACTACTCACCTTTTGGCGCCAAGCTTATTGAAGAGTGCATATTGTCACCCACGCCTCCATCCCCGTTTCATTGTTACCAAAAATACATTATCGAATTCTGGGTATTCTAATGATCTGTACTTTAATTCTACCTTTGAGAAATTCGAATGATTTTTATTTTCCCTTGAAGTTCAATTTCTTCAAAATAAAATACGTACAAATAAAAGAAAACAAGAAGAATCTCAATAGTCCAAAGTAAATTGTAATGGTAAAGACGTTTGGATACGTCACATCTTCCCTTTGACGTCACGCCAGCAACCGAGAAAGTCGCTTCCAGCTGCTCACCCAACGGTTGTGCAAGTTCTCCGCCCTTGTTGGCGCCTGGCTTATTCAGGTCCGCGCATTATGTCGCCCACGCCTCCGTCCCTGTTTCTTCGTTACGCGCTTCCTCGGGAGGCGCGGCGCATCCCCGCCCTGCGCATCTTATTAGACTCCCGCGGTGGGTAGGGGAGGAGGAGGAGAGGGGGAGGGGAGCCGCGCCCATTAGCCCGCGCGCGGCGAACGCCCCATTGTGCGCGTAGGAGGCGGCACCCCCCCCCTGGCACCCGCTCGCTTGCGCCCTCTCGGCACGGGTCTCCGGGGAAATTTGGGGCAACGTGAATTATGATCCAAGTCTGCTTATGCTTTATTATTATTATTATTATTATTATTATTATTATTATTATTATTATTATTATTATTATTATTATTATTATTGTTATTATTGTTATTATTGTTATTATTGTTATTATTGTTATTATTGTTATTATTGTTATTATTGCTATTATTATTATTAATATTATTGTTATTATTGCTATTATTATTATTATTGCTACCATCCCCTAAATTCAAAGTGATGTAAGATGTTATATTAATATTCATTCTATTATTTCGTAATTATATAGTTTTCGTAATAATAACTTGTAATAAAGTGTAATTGCTAAAAGTACTAAACTGCACCAGGCCGATATCACATAAGAGCTTGGTGAGTTATAACCCTCTGTTTACAAACTTTACTTGACATTAATAATCCAATCCCCCACTGGGTTTATAGAATTGTGTGTTCAATTAACGTAAGTGTGTTGGCTATAACGTACTTATACTGCTTGTAATGTACGTGTGCTGGTTGTAACGTACGTATACTGCTTGTAACGTACGTGTGTGTTGATTGTAACGTACATGTATTACTTGTAACGTATGTGTACTGGTTGTAACGTATGTGCGTCGTGTGTGCGCAGATTCGACCTCCTTCGGCCGGCCCTGCACGCCCTGCAGCGCGAGATGGAGCGGCTGTTCCGCCAGGGCTACCGCTGGAGCCACGCCTACACGCAGTGCGTGCTGCAGGCGCTGCTGGCGGACGTGCGCTCGGGGTGAGACCTCTTCCCCACATACCCTCGGCTCGATTAAGTTAAATCAACAAAACAAAGGCACTTAAAACAGATTCTCATACAGCCATTCCTGCCCCTAATCACATTGAAATTGTTTGTATCTGTCGATGTACAGCATTTGTGTAATATAATATGAGCACCAGGAAATGTTGAACTAGTTCTATTAAAAAAAAGGAGCCACTAAATGTGTCCCTGCGGAAATAACCACAAGAACAATAAAATAAACCGCAATATTGAATCACAATTTTGAGGATTTGATTTTAACATAATTTATTTTAGGCACCATATTCTCTACTGTTGAATAGTGCGAATTTTTTTAACAGAATCGTTCATCTCAACGTGCAAACCCTGACGATTAAGTCGCTCACCAAGTTAAAAATAAGTGCGAAATAGGAGTTTATTGCGATAAGGTGGGAGAACTTTAGAGAAGTTGTGCGTAATCAAATACGATATCTGCAACGTAACTACTTTATACTGGGGATTGAGACGAATCTAAGTATTCCAGGCTCACGAATTCGGTCATAAAAGGAGTCTAAGAGTAAAGTTTTCTAATATCTACAATGAAGAGCAAATGTAAGCCTATGTATGCAACAATGTCTCAAGATTTGTTCTTCAGGGTAATAATTCTTCAGGGCATGAAGCTACTGATTATCAACACTCTGCTCAAAGTGTCGTTTGAAAGTTTGGGGCGCTAGTTAATCATAAAATTGGGTCCCTATCCACATAATCTGTCGGAGAGTAAATCATGGGTACGTCAAGTTTCTACGTCCATCATCCCTTTCCAGAAATTGGGTTATTCCACATAATATAATTCATTAATATAATTATTCAAACGTCATGGGAAGTGTAGAACAAGTGTTAACGTATATCTTCAAACTTGTTTTAATATGTTTTACAAAATAGGATGGCTTTAGCTAATATATCGGACTACCTAGTCTTTAAGCAAACAAATCTCATTTAATTCTACGATTTTTGTCCATAAACATTTTGAAATACGAGTCATTCAGAGATTTTCTTCTAAAATATCAAAAAATAATTAATTTATGTAAGGTCTGGCTTGGGCAAGTATTTTAATACAGATTTCCCCATGCAATCTCGCAAATCATCTGAACTGCTTTTGCATGTCTGAAGTGACATGCGCAAACCGTGTGGGGTCTCTTTATTAAAGTATGAACCGTTCCCAATGACGTTCATAACTTACTCTCTCATTCACGGTGCACGCCTACCATGTAGTCCCTGAATGATTACTAGCTGCACTGCGGAGGTATGTGCATTGCTGTGTCATACCCTTTGCTTAATTATAAGGATAGGGGCAGAGTCAATTCGTATTCGACCGTGGACGACCGACCGATGCTCTCGAACGATTGTTGTCTCTGCATTCGACCGCACAAGTCGACATCATTAATTACTTACACGCTACATGTAATGGCATAGAAATTATTAATACTGGTCACTAACAGCTATATTGGGTTTTGGGATAGGTTTGTTTGAGAGAGACATTTGTAAAGTAAACATCACATACATGCGTTGGTTGTAACGTGCGGTGAATTTTGTGTTTATCAGAAACGATCAGCCACACATTCCACCCGTTTCTTCTGAAAATGTCTACAATTATTTTCTTCCGATATTCCCGTGATGGTAACTTTAATCATAGGTTTCCACAGAGCTCCTCGTTTAAACTGAAATAAGTTACGTCCATGTTGAATAGCTTAGTTCGGCCGAACATTTCATGTTCATTTCATGCAGTTCTGATGACTAGGAACTTCGGCCATACCATTTCGCATGCAAAACGACCTGGTCTGAGCTGCAGTGAGTGTTTAAACTATTCGGCCGTAAACGGTCGTGTTCGCCCGACCGCGATCCCCAAGTGCAGCGCCCGTGTGTTGGTTGCAGGCTGGGCCAGTTCGAGCGCGCGCTGTGCGATCCGCTGGCCGACCAGGACCTGGAGGCGGCGCTCAAGGCCATCGAGGGCGACGAGCAGGTACGCACGCACACGCGCACATTACACACACACACACTCACCTTAACCCTCACCCTCTCCCCCACCCTCACCCTCACTCTCTCCCACCCTCACTCTCAGTCCCACTCCCACATTCACCCTCACCCCCACCCTCACCCTCATCCTCATTTTCACCATCATTATCATTCTCACCCTCATTCTCACCCTCTCCCTCACTCTCACCCTTACCCTCACTATCACCCTCACTCTCACCCTCACTCTCACCCTCACTCTCACCCTCACTCACTCGTCACCCTCGCTTCTCACCTCGCTTCTCACTCACTCTCCCTCACTCTTCACTACTCACCCTCACTCTCACCCTCAACTCTCATCCTCATTCCACTCGCCCTCAGCTGCTCACCGTTCACTGCTCACCCTCAATCTTTCACCCACTGCGATCCTCACTCTTATCCTCTATCGCCATCACTCCAACCCACACGCCTCACTTTCACCCCCACATGTCACCCTCACCCTCACTCTCACGCTCATCCTCCACTCTCACCCTCACCCTCACACCGCTCACCGTCTCTCTAACCACCATCTACTTATCAGCCTCACCCATCTCCCCCACCCTCACCCTCTCCCCCACCTCTCACCCTCTCCCCCCAACCCTCACCCTCTCCCCACACTCTCACCTCTCTCCCCCAACCCCCACCCTCTCCCTTCCCCACCCTCTCCCCGACCTCTCTCTCCCCACCCTCTCCCCCCACCCTCTCCCCCACCCTCTCCCCCAACCCTCTCCCCCAACCCTCACCCTTACAACCACTATCACCATCAGTATCACCACATCGACAACCACTACTACCACTAACCTCCACCGCCTCCACCGCTTCCACAACCTCCACCTCTCCTTCCATGTTCCCCGCTACCCCTTCCTACACTACTGCTGCCACCACGTCTACCCCTTCCATCACTATCACCGCTTCCATCACTATCACCCCTTCCATCACTATCACCACCTCCACCACTATCACCACCTCCACCACTATCATCACCTCCACAACTATCACCTCCTCCACCACGTCAACACCACCGCTATCACTACCACCTCTATAAAGACAGTACAATGCCATTCCACAATTTCCCTCGGCAGATTCCTTAATTTCTCCGTTATTTAATGTCTTGCGTTTTGCTCAAAACGAAAGGTGTGTCTAATAAAGGCGATCCCGATTCGCAGGAACAGCTAGACCAGCGCAACCTGGCCCGCGTGGCCTTCACGCCGTCCGCCTCTGACCCGCACCCGGAGTTCGCGGACGAGGTGTACTTCCCGCCGCTCGGCGACGAGGACCTCGACGTCAACGGTGAGCCACGTCCCTTCACACCGCCACTCCTCTCCCGTCTTTGCACTTCGGGTTTGTCTTGTAAAGTTATATGAAATGGAAGAACTGGCATTCAGAATTTCTTCTCGAGACGACTCAAGTGCAGGTTTTCAACAAAGTGAGAACTTACCGTACTTTTTAATGCCGAAAATATGTTGATACTTCTTAATATTGCGGAAAACTAAATTGTTAAAAACCGCTCCAACAGTTTTTGTTGTTTTTTCATTAAATTCCTGATGATTTGTGTCAGTCGAAATTATCTTCATAAACGGGTTTGAATTTGTATGACAAACGAAAATTTATTTCTCAACTGTTCTTATTTTACACGCGTGGTTACTCCTAAAAATATTTTTCTAGGACATAATAATACTTAATTTGTGTTGCTATAATAAACATTTTTGTTATGCAATGGCATAAAAAATGAAATTTAAAACTGAGCAGGTGTTTGGTTCGTTTATTCACGAGCATACAGGAAAGCGTGGAAAGTTCTCGTTAAATACTGAAACAATATCGATAGACTTTAAAAAAAATTAGATTATACAATTATATCAGCCGTAACTATTCTTAACGTGCCTAAAAGACAGTAGAATAATTCACAAGTTTTCACCATTGTTCCTTATAACTCCAAAAAGAGTTTTGCGATAATTCTCTTACAATGTTCTGCATGGATCGGAAATAATAGTTAGTTCCCCACGAGCAGATCTATACACGACGAATAGCATCTCGCTTGCCCAGAGGATTCTTTATTTTCAACTCTTCAAATGTATGCCCAAAAGTGTATGTAGACACCGATAAATCGTAGTCAAGCATTTCGTTCTTTCAAAGAAGTAAATAAAAATCAACAATATGCTTCAATAAAAAATGGGGAAACTATTTCATATCGAAATCAAATACACAACCGAATCTTGGGATTCAGGTTTTGTATAAAAATCAGAAACATGAAACTATTATTAAATTAATCGTTATTAATCGTTTTAGACGTCTTGAACACAACACGATGTCGATACATCGATTTATCAAACTTCTTGTGTATTTCCTTATCCAATATAATTTAGTATCATTAAATAATTCACAAATGTAGGAAATATGTCTGTTAGACTTCAAATTCAAATATTTTCTGGTCTATTTTTCATGAATTATTATTTTTCCCTACTAATTATTCAAATATTTCTGGTCTATTATACATTAACTAGCTTTTTTAAATAGTTCGTGTGTATATATTGATAGATTCTTTGTGCTAAGTGCTAGCTATTTAATTTTACATTAGTGAATTATTTAATGTTTTCCTATAATTTCCTTCTAGCACAGTACTTTAAAATATCTCACTTTTAACACGACCTTAAGCTATTGAATGAAACTGGCAACAAAAAATTGTTGCGTATCGTGATATTATACACGTTACTTACACTATATAGTTCTCTCTTCTCTGGGATCACCTTTGGCTATGCAACCGGATGCCTGCTCACATATGACGCTTGTTGTGGGTTGTTCTTCGCAAATTGGTACCATCTGGCCCTCTCAACAGATTATGCCTCTTATCACACATTGTTCTCGACCTTTCCCGCTCACCAATTTTTCTATAGAGTTCTTTGCTTTCTGGGGGTCGCATGAAATAGCGTTATGTTGCCAATGGCAGAACAAAAATTTCATTACGAAAATTATGAGAGGAATAACATTTATATCATTGGTTTGGAGCATGAATATTTTCTTATTTCTGTTAAAAATAATTCGCGCAAAGTAGTCATTATCCAACGTTAATTAACTAAAAAAGTGTTAATTTTTGTGAATGTTGGAATACTGGGCATGTATGTGTAAAGGACTCTGATAGAAACAACAACAAAATCACAACTAAACATAAAAGACCTTGTGAGGAGACTCGAGGACAGGCATGTAGATACTAGGGTTCGGCACAATCACTATGTCGTCTCCACAAAATCAAAGCTCTTCTATAATAGTAGTTTATGCAATTAGTTTAAAATGTTAAGCTTTATTTCATGAGTACATGTTTTGACAACGAGCGACATTAAGAGCGAGTTTTCAAAAATTTACGGGTGCAATAAAGCAACATTATAAACCAGTTGCATCCGCCATTTTTTTTTGTATAACAGATTGTATAACATACATTTACAAGAGAATCAAACTTAATTTTGCGAAACAACTTTCTTGTGACATCTTGGGTATTTGACATCTGTGCAAGATAACTGTGGTCGGCTGTTCCGTTCACCTCTGTCTCCCTACGATTCTTTCACTGCGATTGGCTGAATGTGTGATGACGCAATCATTCGTGCCATAAGATCTGATACGTCATCATTTGTGCCGTAAAATGCCCGATTATAAACGATTTCTAGCAACAGAAAAGGTCATTTATAATGCTAGTATACAGAAAACAATATTTCTTGCGGCTGAGAGAAAGCAAAAAGGTGTATCGGACGTGTAGACTTAGTCTTTAAACTACGTTTATTATCTCAGAGTTAAAAAATGTACTCACCAGGAATACATGGAACGACAAACGCACTTCCACTATCAATGCCGCGCCCGAGACTTTATTTACCACCAATCCTGCGGCGTCAAGAGCGCCATCTTCCCGAGTAAAACCTGCATGTTTATGCAGCAGTGCATTAGTAAATGGCTTCATTCCTCTACAAAACTATTTTAGCGATATTAGTGTAACATCAACATTTGTATCAATAAATGATGTATAAGATGCTCTGAATCGGAATACGAAGCCAGAGTTGCCCCATCCCATTCCTGTTGTTTAAATCACGAAGAATCATCGTAAAATTTGCATTTTACGTGTTTTGCACAACTTAAAAAACTGGAGGGTGGGGGCGTAATTCTAGCTTCAGATTCGGTTTTAGAATTACGCCACCACTCTCTAGTTTCCTTGATTTTTTTTTTTCACAAAAAACTTGAGAATACCAGATTTTGGTGTTTTGTAGCATTATACTCTACAAAAGTCAAGACTTGACACATGTTTCTCTGTGTATGTCGACGCACTGACACCGAATCAGAAGCCCAAACTGCACCACCTTTCTCAGGTATTTTTAAATTGAGAAAACAACACCGTGAAATTGTAAATTGTAAAAAACAAGGTGTCGCAATTCTGGCTTCGAATTGCAATTCAGCACATAGAGACACACATGTCAAGTTTTTGGATGTGACACCTTTTTTTAGTGTGCCTTTGTAATAAGTGTAACACGTTTTCGCTCTAATGCGTCTTTTGTTTGGGCCGCTTGTAAAGACGCAACGGTGTGTTGCAGTGGTGGAGTGAAGCAGGCGCGGGCCCGCGTGGCTACTACGCGCCGGACGGTGGCCGCCGCCCCGCTGGCCCCGCCGCGCCCGCCCCCGGCCCCCCCCCGGCCCCGTGAAGCGCTCGGCCCGCCAGCCGGCCCGCCGCCTCGCCATGCGAGCCGCAGCTGTTCGCACGCGAACTACAACACCCCGACGCTTCCGCCACGGCAGGAGACGCGCGACTGCGCCCGCGCCCCTGCCGCCCCTGCTGGTAACGCAGCGCCGCGCAGCCCCCCTTCCTACTAGGGCCAGGGCCTGACTCCCCCTCTCGCGTCTACACTCCCGTCCCATCCCTTCCCTCTACCCCACCCACCCAAAAACCCACAATCCCTCCCTCACCTTTCACCGTACCTCCCTCCCTCCCTCCCTAACCCACCACCTCCCACCCCACCCACCCTCCCAAAACCCATCCACCTCCCCACTCTCCCTGTCGCTTTTCCTGCCCCCCTCCCCTTTTCCTCCCTCACCCTTCTCTAATTCTACCTTCCTCCACGCCCTTCCCTTCCCTTCGCCCGTATTTTTCTCTCCAACTCGCTTTCTTCGTCCTCTCGCCTTTCTACTCCCCCTCCCTTTTCTATCCTCTTCCCATCGCCCTTCCCCTCCCCTGACCATCCTGGCTTCCTCGCCCTTCTCCATTCCTTCGCCCTCTTCATCATCCTACCCCTGACTCCTCCTCCTCTTCGTCGCCTTTCCTGTTACCAATGTTCCTCGTGTGTCTAATGTACCGACCTCTTCTCTGCTCATCCATTAGATCCTCATACAGCCCGGTTCCGCTTGAAATATGCTGTTATAACTTTCTTCCCCGCTCCCTCCTCCTTTGCGACAGACTCTCAACTCTCTCGAGTTCTCTCCCTGTTACACTCGTCCATTGTCCAGACCCACTATCAACTAGCACCTTCACATATCGGCCTCCTCGCTACCTACCTCCATATCGTCTCGAATGAGCCTGGCATTGAAAGTTTATTCTCCTTCCCATTCTAATTCCTCGCATCTCGTCTTCACGTCTTCATATTCCCGCACTTCAACACTTCACGTCCTGCTCTTCCGAGCAACATCACCCTTCCTCCTTTCTCTCCCCCATGCATTTCCCCACTCACCTTACCTCTACTTGACACTGACTCCCACTCATTTAGCCTGCTAGTTCGCTACGACCATTCTCCTTCAATTCTTAACGATCTTGGAAAAGAATGGGATCAACAAGATACCTAATAGAGAAACTGTACCTTCATTTTAAAAGCCATTTTTAACAATAGCTTTTTCTATTAGAAAATAATGGTGTTTTTAAGGCATGTCCAACTATACAAAATGTGATTATGAAGGCTCTCTGTGTCCGGGTGACGCTGACAGCCAGAGCCTTCACATGACTGACTGCAGAAGCCTAGGCTTGCAAAAAAATATTATCTTGGAACAATGATTGAAGATGCAATATAAGTAGTTTAGGACGTTGGCTCCTATATTATACTTTTCAATACTTCTCACCTTTCCAACACTTGTTAGCAAGTTATATCAATTTCACATCAGTCTTAAAGATTCCTGGGGCGAAAAAAATAAGTTCTTATTTACGGAATATATTTAGCATCTCCACGACGCAAAAAAGCACTGATACGAAACATCCGAGCTTTGATGACCTTCAGATGACATTTGGAAAGTCGAAACTCGCTGCCTTGAGGGTAATGAAACTCTTCTTTGCGGAGCAAACGAACCATTCTTCCGAGAAACGAGATGTAACGTGAAACGTAATCGCTCGGTCCGAAAAAATCACAAATAAAATCTCTCTCTTGGAAGCGTACTACATTGTCAAAGATACATAAACATCGGCCTCCTTCCGTTCATTTCTCTGGCGATCGTTTCAAATTTCGTGGATTCGAGTATTCAAAAATCTCAAATGTGTAATGAAGTAATTAATACTCAATGTATATTTTCTTTTCTAAAAAAGTCTATTAGTTATTATTTTTCCTTGTTTTCTAAGGAACCTAGCATATGGACAACGTCGCTATTGAAGAAGAATATACAAGTATCTATTGCATTATACATTTTTAGTGTTCTTAGAAATGTAATTTTGTGATCGATAATAAATTTGCTCTCATAACAGAAATGGCATTGTCCTTCAGTTCAGTGAACACATGTTACGAAAACCAGTAAAGTAAACGTCGTTTATAAGGTCTCATTATAAAACATAATTTAATATTTCTCAACATTGTCAATAAATGGAAAGTTGTGGTGTTCTATGAGTCTATGTGTTAAATTCTGGTGACTGACCGACCGATAGTCCGAAAATGTTAGGTTGTGGCTCTCTTCAACTGACTGTGTAGTTGCAGCAGAAGCAACAATAAGTTAAAGAAGTAAAAGCAATTGTGAACGTGACTGCCAGTGAAAAATACTGTCAAGGTTTTACTACGAGACTATCGCCGCTGTGGTAGTGTCACGAGACTGAACCTGGCTATGACCCACTTAGTGAGTGGCGATAATTGTCCGTTATCTCCCATCGTGCCATACAGACCGTCACAGATCGTGTCAGGCTTTAACCATGAATTTCCTACTGGTTGTGTACTCGCGACTGTAACGCTAAGCGAAGCTGACCGTGGCAGTGACTGCGACTAACAGTGACCTATTGACCTACTAATAACAGTATCAAGTGAAATGCGACAGCAATTGGCTGTGTTCAACTCAACACGATGCGCAGCAAGTCGTTCCTTGTCCCCCCCCCCCCCTCAAGAAAGTTCGCCGAGGCTCTGGCAGTCGGGCCTGGAAGCACGAGCACGCTTAGGGTACTGTTACACACGGTCCGGTTTCCAGCGTCGGTCGAGCCAGGCTCAAGAACCGGAATTACTAGAATGTATGAGCCACTTCCACCTCCTATTCCCCTCTCGCCCTCCACCTCACCTTTTCCCCTTCCCTCCCCCTCGTCTTTTTGTTTTACACCTCCGCCTTCCCCCCCCCGCCCTTACCCGCCCCTCCACCTCCACTCGTCCTCCCCTCCCCTTCCCCTTTGTCACTAGCCCTCCCTCTATCCCTTTTCTTTCCCCTTTTCACCCCTAGCCTCTCCCTCGCCCTGTCCCCTTCCAACGCCCTTCCTCTCACCGCTTCACCCATTTAACCTCTCCTCTTCGTTTTTCTTTACACCCCTCTGGCCTTCCCCTCCTCACCTTACCCATCCACCCCTTTCCCCACCCCTTCCTTTTTCCCCATTGTCCTTTCTCTTCCCTATGCCTTTCCCTTCCCTTTTCAACCTCTCACCCTTCCCTTTCCCTCGCCCTTCCACTCCCTTTTTCGTCCCCTCGCCCTTCCCCTCCCTTTCTCCTCGTCATCCCCCTCCCTTTTTCCTCCCCTCGCCCTTCCTCTCCATTTCCCCTCCCCACGCCCTTCCTCTCCCTCCTCGCAAGATGTTTTTCCTGTAATTCCTTTCTAGTGTTTCGTCAGCTGAGAGCCTAATGGTGTGTCTTGTACGCAGACGTTTTTGGTTCAGCCCATCCGGATGCGCTGTGATAGGGCCCAAGAGCGCGTGGGCGAGTGAGTGTGCCTGTGTGTGCGCAGGCGTTGGCGGAGGTGGTGGTGCCGGACGCGCTGCTGCTGCAGAGGGCGTACGAGGACGCGCTGGCGACGGTCGAGGAGCACCGCGAGGAGCGGGAGCTGCAGCGCCAGGCCCAGGCTCAGGCCCAGGCTCAAGCCCAGGCCCAGGCGGAGGCCGAAGCAGAGGCCGAGGCCCAGGCGCGCGCCGGCGCCCTGCTCCTGCAGCCCCTGCCGCCCCTGCCGCCGCTCGACGCCCTGCAGGCCCTGCAGCCCTTCGACGAGGTGCAGCGACGCGCGCCCGAAGTGCTGCAGGTGCGTACACACCACAGCTGTTGTAAGTGGGGTGGATGGGTGGGTGCAAATACTGTAAAGACAATACAGGCCACTCGGCGACATAACGGGAGGCAGTTGAAGCTAGGGACCCTTGTGCTCCAAGCGACAGCAATTTCCTGTCTTCAATCTCCTTTCCAGACCAGCGCCACTGTCGCACCCATGACACTACAATATGGAAAAATTAAAATAACAAAATGCTAGAGTGTGCAGACGGAGGGGTCAAAATTGATCACATTTTGCCTCTGAATAAACATATGGTGGAAATTTTCAAATAACGATTTGTGAAATTGACACCGATACATATCGTCTGTATATAGTATGTATATAGTCTGTATATAGATCATGACTATTGTGATATCAAGTACGAAAAGTATAAGTTTGAAAGACTTTTTGTTTATGTACGACTACGTTTCTCAGAGTTATTCCTAATTTAGTATATGTATTGAATTAGAGTTAATCGCCTATATTCCAGTCATGTCACTAGGTTTGCTAGTGAGAAGTTGCCTCCCATTAAAAGAATTTGAAAGGTTCAAAGTGTCCTGAGTTGTCTACATAGCATTTGGTGAGTGAACGGGTAGGGAAAGTACACGAGGACTGTCATACCCCGAGTAAAACCTGTTAATGGAAGTATTAAAGCAGTTTAAAAATAAACGAGTTGTGTTCTCCAACTGAAGCCTCTTTCGGCTGTTCTAACGTCTACGTGCTAGTCAGAGCTCAAATTCGCAGGGGAAAATGTCGCGCAAAGAGAGTTTGATGTCCTTTCTGTGAAAGTATTTATTTTTTATTGCCGGTGTTTTAAATTATCCACATTACGTGTTCCATTTATGGTTTCTACACGCGGAAACGTTCACATCAAGGAATTCTAATAAAAGAAATAGGTCAAAAAATATTTCCGATGAAATTTTTAGTATTCTTTGGAGCTGATGCTAAAGAAAGCTGGTGTTCGTTTCACTCATTAGTTCTTCTATTCCGTCAGAGATAATTTCATTGAGTGATTTCTCGGAAAATATCAGTTGTACGCTAAGTTTGATTCCTATCCTGTAATTGCAAATATTACAAGGTCTACGAGTAATTTTATTATTCTAATGTCTTTCATTTGAGGGCCTCAAGCGACAGCAATTTCCTGTCAGTCCCTCCTTTCCGGACAAGCGACATTGCCGTATCCATGACACTACAATACAGAATCAGGATTAAAATAACAAACTGTTAGAGAGTGTATAGGGGAGAAGCAAAATTAATCACATTTTGCCTTGAATAAACATATGGTGGAAATTTTCAAATAACGATTTGTGAAACTGACCCCGGTACATATCGTATACGGGTGATAGATGTATCAGATCCCGTCGCAAAGAGCTTTCGCTAACCCGTCAAACATCACGTTTGATGAATTGCGTACCAATTAGACGCAAATGTCACATGTGTAACTTGGTGAATGAACATTTCCCACCACCCATTCATTGGCCGAACGTGATACAATTTGATCTTCTGTATATTTTATTAGTTTGTGACATGTCTTGTATAATATGACATGTGTGCGTGTGTGTGTGCAGGCGCAGCTGCAGCCGCCGCCCCCGCCGCCGGCCGCCGCGCGCCCGCTGCCCGACGAGATGCGCGGCGCCGCGGAGCTGCTGCTGCTGGAGGCGCTGCGCGAG